GCATAACGTTCAACTTGGAATTTTTCTATTAATTTGAAACATTTCGATAGATCTTTATAAAAAATTCCAAAACTATAAAATATTTTAAAGGTATTAAGCAGCGGTTACTTCCAGCTGGCCACCTGGCTCTTACAGCAGCTGTTCCTTGTTTCATCCACTTGGCTTGCTTGTTATCCCTGCGAATTCTCAGAACCCACTCATAGTGCTGCTCGCTCGACCCACTTCACACTGAGCGTCCCCTCGCTCAAAATTCTACCCCCACTTAACATGCTCATGCACACACATCAAGCAAAATCCAATAAAAATGTTGCTTGCGATTAAAATTTAAATTTCATATACGACGAACAAGAGAAAAAAGTCGAAATGAATAAGAATATTTGCCATAATTTCAATGGCAAGCGCGCTCTTTCGCGCTTGTTTCAAAATTAAATTTAATAATGCAAACCTAAGCGCTGAAATTTCATTAGGTGGCAAGGTGATATATATTTTTTTTTGGGTCGCCCAGGCAAAAATTGCTAGCAAATTTATCGGGCAGAAGTGGAGGGAAAGGGCCGAGGGCTGCTGCTAAGTGTGTGCCATGTGTGTAAGTGTGTTGTGTGTGGTTTATTGATAAGTTTGCTGGCTGCTGGCCGCAGCGCTTGATTAGATTTTAGCCAGCTAACCAGTTCTACGTACCTTCTCCTGCTGCCTGCTTCCGCACTCCATATGTGAGAAATGAAAACCACAACCTGAACAACAACAACAAGCAGTTGCCATGTGGGCTGTGGGCGTGGCGGCATCGGGCGTTACATTATTTTTGTGAAAATTTGTTAAATATGCCAAACACGCAGCGATGCATGCAAAGTGGCCAACCAGCCCGGGCAGCCATTCCACCTTCCTCTCTCAATCTCTCGCTCTCGCCCTTCTTCCTCTTCATTCTCCTCTCCCCTCTCCCTTAAGTTTCATTTGGCCCTTCCCCCAGCATCAGCCAGCACGGAACCATCCAACCAGAGGCAAAAACGCAGCCAAGCCGAGGCTAACCAGCCGTGGCATTGCGTACGACGCGCTCACTCGCTCGCTTTGCAGCTCGCTGCTCATATTTGTGACATAAATAAGCTAAGCCTCGGTTCCGGAACCTTCCTCCTCCCGGGTAGCGGACGGGGCTAACAGGCAAATATGACCCGCTTACATACGGAATCAACAATTGCGAATAGAGTCGCACCTGTCGCACAGTGGCAACATTTTCAATTTTCATGTGCAAAAGTTGAGCTTAACTTGGTAGAGTAGAGAACATTACGAAAATGTATGTAGAGTAGAGAACATTACGAAAATGTATGATCTTTTGTCTGTATTTAGAAAATATCTGAGTAAATACGCTGATATACAGTAATTTAAAAATTCTTAAAGAAATTTCGAACTTTGCAATGATCATATAAAAATGAATGTCGGATCGGATTCAACATTATTTACTAAAAATTCTGTAAGGTCATGAAACAACTTGGAATTTGTTAAATTATAAATGATTTTATATTTAAATTCCCCAAAATACACTTTTTACACCGTATACAGCATCGTCATCCAGCAACATCAGCTGAGTCGATGTCATGGCGCGCGTTGCGTTTGGTTTTTCTACGGTTCGGTTAGGTTTTGTTTGGTTTGAGTGGTCGCTCGGTTAGTTGAGTTGCATGCAAAATGGCTGCAAGAAAAAAAGTGGTTAACTGTGTGTGTGTGTCAGTGTGCTTGTATATGTGTGTGGGGGTGTGTGCACAAGTGGCCGCACTTTAGTTGCTGCCACTGGCTCTATTGCTGCTGCAGCTGCAGCGCCATGCTTTATGTTTTCAAATTAAAGTCGAAAGCGTGGCAACACTTAATGTGCGCCACTAGAAGCAGATTAGTTGCATTAAGGTGCGCCGTAGTCTTGGACCCAGACGAGAGGCACCTGCAACCGGCCATAGCCCATGGCAATATTAATATTTAAAATAGAAGCGCCAAAGATGCTGGAAATGCGCCAATGGGAGGCGGGTGGCAGGTGGCAAGTGGTTGCCCTATGGAGCCGGACACACAGCTTAAAGTTGAAGTGAACTATTTTCTAAGTATTAAATATGAAATTAAATTGGAGTTTGTAAAGTTGGCTTTAGGTAGGAAAATTGCCGAGGAGCTGGTCAAATTGAATGGAAGAGAATAAGGAGAGTTATGATTGAATGCGGATGCGGATGCAGACTTTAAGCTATATGTGCTTAGATAGAATAGTAAAGGCTTTCAACGTTCTCTTAAGATGGACTTATTTTTTTATTAACTTCAACCTCTATCTGCAATATGTATATATAACTCTAAAAGATTGTCTAATATCAATGATATCCTATAGGTCTTAGTTATATAACTTTTGATATAATTATTTATTATCATAAATATTATTAGATAACATCGTAAAACCTTGCTGTTTTTAAGATAACTTATCTTGCAGCTTTTACTCTTTCTAGAACAATGGCAAAAGTCATTGCCACAGCAAATTTTATTTCGATTGCAACAAAATGTGGCATAAGGGTTTGTGGTAAAGCTTCACTTTTAAGCCAACTGCTGGCAGTTACAGTTTATGCCTCATCCCCCCACAACATCGAAACGCATCAAATTCAATGAATTTGAAATTTTTTCTAAGCATGCGCTTGATGCTGCTGTTGGTGCTGTTGTTGGCTACAACCGGGATTATGATAATATAGCTCAAGTGCCGTTAGCTTTTGCTATTGCAGCTGCAATAATCATAATAATAATGCAAGTGGTGCTGCCGGTGGTTGGGGCGGTTTGCATTTGATAACGATGATGATGCAGCTCTTGGAATGGCAATTCGAGTAGCAAGTGCCAAAAGGAATTACAGTTGGGCAGCGCAAATAAGGGGTCCGTCTCTCTATAGATGACGATGCTTTAGTTGTTGCTGCTGCTGCATTGCAACACGTAATACTAGAAAAGTGTGTGGCAAGTGCCAGAGCAGACCCCATTTCTAGATACGGAATTGTAGCTTACCTCATAATAATTGTGCCATAACGTTGAAGTACAAGTGTAATGAACCATTTCATAACTATTGTGGTGCTTAAATTGTTAACTGTATATCTAATGCTGATGAGAAGTTTAAATAGAAAAAGGGGAACTATTTTCACTGCATTTTGTGAGGAAATAATCGATATTAATTTACAATTTTAATTGATTTGCCAAAACAGATTTCGGTCAATGTGCATAATTATTCTAAAATTCATAGTTTTTATTTTATGTTATTTTGTTTTGGTTACGCCAATTATAAACAATCAAATTGGTATTTTCGGTTGCCCAAAAATTGTATTGTGCCACTCAAGCGATAAAACAATTATAATTCGTAACAATTGAGAATTTGCGGGCAGCGTGCAAAAATAATTGCAATATTTTAGATCTCGCTTAAAAAGGGCTTAAAACTGAACAGAGATAATATGGAATAAATATTTATAGGCTTTTGGCGTTTGATGTTGGACAAAGAATTTTTGATAATTTGAAAATAGAGTTATTGAATGTAGTAGTGATAGTGCTTGACTGTTGTAAAGGGGATAACTGCTTCAGGTACTACAAATAGAACCGCTTAGGTATAATTGGGTATAATATGGATAGAAATTGAATCGGGTGTAAAAAAATGATTGGTTTGGTATAGCTCCACATTTTGTATACTCCTTGTTCTCGGCCAATTGGAATGCATCTAGCAGCTCTCGACTAAAACTATATTTCTCCCCACTAAATCAAATTCAAATGTACTGACATAACTCTTCAATATCTTCTCTCCAAATGGCCCTTAATATTATTCGATTAGAGTATATATAAATTTCGTGTCTAATAACTTATTTATAGACTTCATTTAATAATACTCTTTACTAATACTCGATCTAAACACATTACACCAAACTTAATATACTTTTATCGCTGCCCTTACAAAAGTTCATTCGATTTTAGCCAACAGCTAATTTGTTAACTTTAATGCTGATTGTAGTGCGTGAAAAAATTGCATTTTAATGAACTGCATTTAGACTAAATGCATTATTTAGCAACAGCAGATGCAGCAGTAGAAGTAGCAATTTCTGCAACGGCAACTGCAACTGCAACTGCAATTGTGCCAGCCAATTGCATATTTGATAACAATTAATTTGGGCATTTGCGCTCTTTTGTGTTTGTGCAAATAAATTAGTTGACAATTTTACGGTGAAGGGGCGCTGGTTAGTTTGCTGTGCGCCGCGCCCACATTGTGTGTCCTTAGCAAATATTTGGCTGCATGTTAAATGTGCAGCAATTAGTTTTATCAGCAGCCCAGCGAATTTTAATTTATGCCAAATTAATTGAGCATTGTTAAATTTGCGTAAGTGAGCACCGCTGTCGGCATTTCTGCATCGTTGATCGCCGTCTCGAGTTGAAACTGGGTTAACCAACTGACGGTCAAGCTCTGCGCTTGAGACTGACAATATCAAACACCAAACCTTGTCATCTGATAGCTTCGTGGTCTTCAGACACAGACTTGAACTGAGGTTTTCAATTACACCTTGAGTGTGTGTCAGGCGGACCTGTGTGTGTATTTGCTCAATTTGAAGGCTGCGGTTGGCGCTTCCGCATGCATTCCGCTTCATGCTGCGATTAAGTTACCAAGGTCGAGGCTAACATAATTATGATAATAGTTATGATGAAATGTGTATTTACTAATGCATTAAGTTCTTCTTTAATATACTGGGACTATTATAAAATTACATAGTTCATGAAGGAATTGAATTTTATAATAATCTAGACACATTTGCTTACTCTTATTTTAATCTGAAAATAAAATTGTTTATCGATCTATTAAGTGTTGTTTCATCTCTGAAATTAGGTTCAATTCCATCCCTAACTTCAAACTTCACTAACTTTTATTATTGACGTTACTTCAAATACATACACCGATTTTTTAATAACGAAAATTGAGATATATTTTATGCAATTCAATTTACATTTCACTTATCTATATTCTTTGGTATATGTTTCAGAACGCAAACTGTTTGTTGGCATGCTAAATAAGAAACTGAACGAAAACGACGTGCGTAAGTTATTTGAAGTTCACGGCGCCATCGAGGAGTGCACAGTGCTGCGCGATCAGAACGGCCAGAGCAAGGGTTGTGCTTTTGTCACATTTGCGACCAAACACGCTGCCATTTCAGCCATTAAAGTAGTAAGTAAACATGGCCAGATGAACCTTATTAATCCACTATTAATCTACATTCACTTTTCGCAGACCTTGAGCCAGAACAAAATCATGGAGGGCTGCACATCGCCGCTGGTTGTTAAGTTTGCCGATACGCAAAAGGAGAAAGAACAGAAGAAAATACAGCAAATTCAGGCAAATCTATGGAATCTGGCGACTAATATTAATATACCACTCGGTCAGACGCCAACCTCAGTTTCCACACCGATACTGCCAAACCCACCGCAACAACCGTCGCCGGTAATGGGCGCCGATGCTCTCACGCCCGCCAGCATTCAGTTGCTACAGCAGCTACAAACAGTTGGACTGCAGCAACAGCTGCTGCAAGGTGAATATCTCAATAATATATAAGTTTATACAGAGGCTGCTCATACTAGTTGTGGGTATTACCAAGATATAACGACGTTTCTTTGTCATCAATTGGTATATGAAATGTAAACTAGATTCTAGATTCTTTAGTAAAATATATTATACGCCCTTAAGACAGTTTGCAGGTTGTCTTAAAGTGATGTGCTATAGTGTATCATAATCAGTGGTAGTTATTCTTGAGGTCATAGGTAATGCTTTCAAATCACAATATAGAACTGAATATATGTGTAAGCTTTCTGGTCAAAGCTATTCATGAATAATATACAGATTTTCAAATTTTAAATAATTAGTAACGCTAGTCCATACCAAACAATATCGATTATTTATAAAGTACTAAAGCATAACTCTTAATCTTTTACAGCACTGACAGGTCTGGGAGCCGCTCAGCAAAATAATTCATCGCAGGACACAACGAACGCCGCTGCAGGTCTATTGAATCCGCTTTCTGTACAGAATTTGGCAGCTATTGCCGCCATGACGCAACCGAGTCTAACCAATGCAGCAACATCACCAGGCAGCGCACAGTTAACTAACACGGCGGCTCTCTTATGTAAGTTTACGAAAATACAAATATACACACACACATACACACACATACACGAGCAGAAAACCCTTCACTAATCAACTGATTTCGTTTTAACGGGAATCGAGCTTCTTTCATTATACCCCACTTACGGAATGGATCTGTGTCAGATTTTGACAGCTGCCAAATAAATATTTCCTTCGAAACACATTCCACTTCAAGCTCAATTTTCACGCTTCACTTTGAAGTGCTTTCCAACACTGTCTTGATTTTCTTTTCCGATCATAACTTATGTTTGTCCTCTCCCGCACCTAATTTCTAAAGTTCAGATTCTTGTTGTCGTGGTAATCGGCTTTAATGACTAGCTAATTACTGTTTTCATTTTTATCAGGGCTTCATATATATACATCGAATTTTATTTTCTACTTAAGTTCAATGAACGAATTTGTTTTATTCGTTTCAACAAATTTTCACCCAATGCAGCTGAAGATAAACTCATTATTAGTTTACTTGAGTGAACCTGTTTAATTTATTGTGCTTTGGGTAAATAATAAAACTCTAACTAATAATATATTATTCACTTCTTTATCTTTAAATGCTAACCAATTCATATGGATATGTTCGTTATATAATATATAAATTTGAACATTGTGTACAGCAGGTCTTATACGAAAAAAGGCGGCTGCTAAAACAACAGGTGAGAGCTGATTTTGACAAAGCTCATTTTCGCTTTTTGCTTTCCATTTTCGGTTGTGAAATTTGTGGATTTTTGCTTTCCTTTTGATTTTACGTTTTTATCGTTATGCGAAATGAAAAAAATCATATTAATAATGGTTATTTTACTTGACATTTAAAGCAAACGAAGCGTCGCTTACGCTCTGTAACGCTCACGTGGCTGCTGTTTTACGTCGTCGTTTACGTCACGCGCCGTAGTTGATGGCCGTAAAGCAGCAGGACTAGTAGCAGCAGCAGCAGCAACAGCAGTTGCTGCAACAACCAAGCGAAGCCGTAGAACGTGGAGCGTACAAAATTACAAGTTACACTCTCTTCAGAAATTAACAACACGGAACTTATTGCAACAGAGTATCAGCAGCAGCAACAGTAGCACTGGCAGCAGCCAGCCAGGCATCAGGAAGTGTAGTAGGGGTAGTGGGGCGAGTCAAGAACTTTGGCCTTATTGACTTTTAGCCGCGTTTCGCTTTTGAGCAAATTGCAATGCTTCAGCGTCACTTGTGCAACTCCCCAGTTAAGAATTTTCTATCTGTCACGTGGCGCAGGCTTATAGACCAGACAGACCGACAATATAAAGTAGCAGCAACAGCTCCCTCAACACGGCAGCAATAAAAGCGAATGTGGCTGCAATACAAGTTGCAAAAAGAATTATGGCCAACTGGGCCTGCATTTTTCAATGGACAGCAATGAAAATATGGCTCCAAGAAAATGCAGGCCTAGACAGCTATAAAACCAATTAGGAATTGTTGCATTTGTAAAAGCTGACAGGCATTTTTTTAAATTATTATATATATAGCTTAACTGTTTAAGAATATATATATTAGGGTTAGTTTTTGTAGTAACTATTTGTGGATATTTATTAAAGCAGGAAGACATTATGAATATTTTAGAAGAGACGAAAGAATGAAGCTCAATGTTAACATTATCGATAAATATCAATTGTTGAAAACAAGGGACACACTGTTCGGCATTAAAATATTAAAATTTCTATAATTACGCAAGATATCTATTGATATCACCTAACCAGTTTTCAGTTTGAATTGTATTTTTAATACTTTAAACCTCTTTGAACACAGAAATGTCATTAGCCATTCGTTCGCTCTCCACAATTCCTGCTACTCATTTGGCTCTTATCGCATTTGCTTTTGGGTTAAGATGCTGCTTGGCACAGCTATTGTTGAATTTTTTAATAGAAAACAAGAAAACCCCAAAAGAGGGGTTGCCAATGCTGGCCAAGCGAATTTGCTGGCTAAGCTGCGCATTACCAAGTTAATTTCGTGAGCAGCTACGAACCGTGAAAGGAAAAAAGTGCCTGACTTAACCAGAGAAATGCCAACAAAGCAACACACACAAGGGCAAAAAGCAGCTTGATATTTAAGCGGATTTTTCGTGTCTGCCTAAACTACAAATACAGTTCTGTTTGCCATGCCACGCCCCTAACTTGTCCTGTGCACTTGTGCGTGCTCATTGTGTGCCACTTGAACGATTTCCGGGGCACTTAATTTAATGAAATATTAAAAATTCTTGTCGAGCGTCTGTCGAGAAGGCAACAACTGCGAGTCGAAAATCTTAAGTTCCTAGTTCTTGGGATGCGCCTATTCTCCTTAGAGATTTTCCCACTGGTCCCCAACCTCATTCCAGCATCAACTCAACTTCTCTTCACCATAAATGAAGAAAGTAATGTACAAGAAAATTTGCTAGAATTTGTTTTTTTTTTCGTTTCCATTTGCAACCAACTGCAACATAAACTCGACATGAAAATCACTTTTGAACTTGCCAAATGTTGATCTTGTTGCTGTAGTGTCTATATAAAACAACTGCTATGCTGTTGCTGTTGTTTCGATGTGTGTGTGTCTGTATAAAAATTGTTTTGTTGTAATAAAATGACCAAACAAATTGGCCCGAGGCTTTGTTTGCTGCAAATTGTTTATGGCAAACGCAAACGCAGCGCAACGCAAAACTCGTTGCAAAATATCAATATGTGCGCACAGATTGGCTCATAATTGTTGCCAACTCTTGCCCTATATGTATGTGTATGCATGTGTGTGTGTGTGAATTCGTTTGGGTGTGTGAAAATTGGTATTGTAATGTTTTAGGCGTACATTTCGATAGCATCGAAAAATAGCCGAAAATTTGTGTGTAGATTGACAATTGAAGCTTGTGTAATTGGTAGATAGGCTAAAATATTGATAACGTTTGCAATATTGATTTTGGAACGAAAGACTTAATAGATTAATAGATTCACATCTAAAAATACGAAATCGAAAAGCGGATAAAAGTGGAAGGACTATTGTGTTTCATATATACATATTTATGGGTATGTGTGTTGTTTATAAAGAGGATTACTTTTGAAAGCTTAAGGATATAGTCGAAAACCTATGAAACAATAGCTCAACGTTACCCTATTGATAAGCTTTAAGAGTTCCTAAATTGATAACAAATTTGAATATTTGTGAATATAAAATATTGAATAAGCAGCTTAGCTGCATCACTTGCTGGACTACAAATCTTCCTTTCGATTTTCTTGTTTTTTTTTCTCATTTCTTTGCACTTTCAGCTGCATCTAACTTTTAACCGTAAACCTAATCCGTTTTGTGTGCAGCAGCAACATTTTCAACACTTGCAGTCGCTGGTCTTTATTAACCATTATCCTAACCCCCGAAAACCCCATCAAAACAAAAGAATCTAACAAAATCCCGCTACAATCTCAAGCGCCACCAATTCAAAAGTTTTTCCTTTTTTTTTTTGCACTTTGTTTTGGCAGCGAAATAGAAACAAAAAGTTAAAAAGAGAACAAAATCAAAAGGGAAAAGCAACAAACGAAAATCTTAATCAAAGTTTTGTAAAGTGCTGTAAACTATGTAGTTTATAAACCCTCAACTACTGCGTACAGTTTCATTTTTCTTCTTCCTTCTGTTTTTTTTTGTTTCTCTTTATTTTTGGAGCTGGGTTTCCCGCCCACGCCGCACTAACAAACACGTTTTCAACTCTGTTTTCAACATGGCTCTCCATTACGTTTGTTTATACGCTTTTTCGCTCTTTGCACTTCAAAATCAACAGCAGCAGCAGCAACAACAGCTGCCAAAAGTCTTCAAGTGTCTGCAAGTGGCAAAGTCTTTGGCCAACAACAAGAATAACTAGAATAACAAATAAATAAATAAAAAAAAAGAAATACAAAAACTTGCCTCAAAATTTTGCACAAATTTGCCAGCTAAAAAGTCCAATTTCAAGCGGACAAACAAGAATATCAAATAGTTGTAGCCTTCATCTGTGTTTGTTTGTTATGCCTGCTTTGTTATTATTGGCCTGGCCAAGAGCTTCAGCGTTAGCCCTTAGCCATAACATGTTGCATACAATATTTTGCTCACTGTTTGCAGCCTGAGCGACTCTCGCATGCATCTGCGGCACAACAAACAATTAAAACAATTTCTTCAATTTCTTGGCAAATATGCAAAACTTTGAAGTTACAGTTACTTTTGGCTTTACCTGTGCATATGCCTGGCCATTTAGTTGCTTTTTGTCAATTCTCATGCTCTGTTTTTTAGTGTGGAAACCTAACAGAGCAAGTGATGCATACAATATAAATTTAGCTTCACTGCTTTATATGTACAGAAAAAGTTAATTGCAATATAGAAAACACAAAAATAAATATTTAAATTTATGTTTCATTTACTGTTGAAGCAAGTTCTTAAATGTTTTTAGTTAATTTAGAATTAAGTTTCTTGTGGCAGCTTGGAATTATATAAACCACACACTTATCGCATACTCAAGTGTCAACTAGAGTATTTAAGAGTCGTTGTCATTTTTGTTCAACAGCATTGCCTGTGTATTGTTTATGCTTGCATACACACACCCACACACACACATGAGTTGCCAAGACTTTGCTCTTCACATTTCAAGCTGTTAAATTAAAAATGTTGCCGACTGCCCCACCTTAAAAATTGATTGCAACACCTAAGGTGGAGTGCACAAGGTGTGCGTGGCTATTGGAAAACGTGGAGTGTGGGAGGTGCGGGTGCTAGTGCAGCACATGGGTAAAAACTTTTGAAATTAAATCTGTAAAATCTCACAAAAGTTTGGCAGTGCGCGTAAGTGTGTGTGTGTGTGTGGCAGGAGCAGTTCAGTTCGGTACTTTGAAGAAGTTTTCGTATAATTTTATATGGCATAGAAATAATTTTAACTTGACTGAAAATGCAAAGTTTTTGCCCTCTGTCACTAGCCATTTCTCCCCCTCATCCTCTTAGTCTGGCTCTAACTCGATAGTCGCCATGACGAACTGACATCATATTTTGTTATTAGCCAAATTAGTTATCAAATGCACTGGACGCTCATTGTCAACATGCAGCGACCGCACTCACACACACACACACACACACTCTCACAGTTGCAAAACTCATTAATAACAACCAACAGAGAAGGAGAGATGCTGAGTGAGCGAACAATATTCGCGCTTTTCTGAACCCAACTGAAAACCGCAAAATTGCATTGCATGACGACGGGCGACGCAAAACAACTAAATAACAAATAACAGGCGTCAAATTACACAACACAAACCAGACTTCACACACATACTTAGGCCACACACACGAACGTGTACCACATGGCGTATGAACAACAAATTAATTTTAGATTTATATAGAAATGCAACACATATATAACTGTTTGTAAATATTATTGTGTTTTGTGTTAAATATAATCAAATCTTCCTCGCGGCGTGTTATTTTCAATGATTAATTACGTCTGGCTGTGGAGAGAGGTTGAGCAAGAGCAGGCCAAAACTAAATGTAATAATAATAACTTTATGATTAACTACTTACTCAGCTGACATAGCGCGGATTAGAAGTTGTACAGGTAGAATAGTGTGGCTTACGTAGGTGTTTCACTGGAACTCAATTGAAGAGAAGAAAGATAAATGAATGAAAGCTAACTACGTGAAGTCAATTTTAAACAATGCTTAACAAGCTGACATTTTGAGTGATATAAAACTCTATTGGAAACCGCCAGCTAAATCTGGCTAATGCACACACACAAAGTTGTTGACACACACACACACACGTCTCACTCGAACACACAAAATTTGAGAGCAGCGCGATTTTAATTTCGTTATATAATTTTTGGTTTTGCAAAATGTAATTTACTTTGGGCTGCAGCAGCCTAACTACGCTCAACACGCAACTGATACGGATGTGTCTATATATATATATATATAATATATATATACAACTATATATTAATATGTGTGTCCTTTTTTATTGCAGGGTCTGATCCGAATCCATTGGCATCGGCGTATATGTCAACAGCCGCTGGTTTACCGCAATTTGGAAACACCACCGCACTGTCCACCTCACCGTTAGCCAGCGTTGCGCTGAGCGCCGCTGCGGCCGCTGCTGCGGGCAAGCAGATTGAAGGTGAGTAATTGGGAATGGGTTGCTTGCAATTGGGGAATATGAATTGGGTTCATTGGGGAGTGGTTTGAAGCGCTCGTTGCACACAAATAGAAATGTCTAAACGCCAGGCATTTTGATAAATGCTCTAAAATGTCTGACTGCGGTTCTGTCAGTCAGTCTGACAGACGGACGGAGGGCCAGACAGTCAGTCAGTTGGTCGCTCGCTCGCTCACTCGCTCACTCGCTCACTAGCATTACATAAAACTAAATGTTGCCGTTTTTGCTGCCGTTGCTACTGCAGCTGCTGGAGCTGCTCTGCTGCTGGTGTTGTAACATCAAATGCATTAACCCGCTCATCGCTGTCAGCGTCATTCGCATTCGCATCCATTTTGCGGTTTTGCGCGCTGCCTTTGTGCCTGTCATGCAGCCCGTTTGGTTATCAATCTACTTAGTTATTTGCTGCTGGATTAATCTTTCATTAGTCTGTGTGTGCGTGGGTGGGTGTGTGCACCACTGGGTGTACTTTCCGTGCTGTGCACAGTGAAATTGTGGCTCTTATGCAACTTATGTTGCTATGAACGCCCGACACATGCATAACGTAGTTTTCTCTATACTTGACTAGCAAACATCGAAGTGTGTTACGAATAAGGAGTATAGCGAATTATTTAACATGAAAAAATATATTTATGAGAGAATTGTTATTTAAAGTAATAATAATTATTTGAGATAAAAAGGGCTTAAAACCATGAATAATTCATTAGAAGAAAAGCTTTTCATTAAAAAAATGAAATTGAATATTGTATCATTGAACCTAATAGAAATAGAGTACGATAAAAAACAACAACTTCTAGTATTAATGCACATCAAACTGTAATCCTTTGTAAATTTTGCGTACGTTCTGAATAGATCTGCCTGTTTTTATGCAGAAATTCCTTTGTCACTTTGTCCTTCGTCTCACAGAAACAATGCATCTAGAGCTTTTCTATTTTGGTCATCCAACATCAATATTGAGGCCAAGGCGAACAACTCCACAAAATGTTATGCACAAGAAGCAAAGCTCTGTGCTGGGCTGCTTGCATATGCACGTGCAAATAACTTTCAATTGCACAAAATCCAAAATGAACTTTATATCGAAGCCGGCAACTAGAACAAATAGAAAGAGCTTCCATAGAACAGCGTTCCCTTCTACTTGCCTCAGCTCCTTATTTTTTCAATTCACATTTTCGATTGGCAAAAGCAGATTTAAGGCTGTTTGCTGATACAAATCCTTATTCGCTTTTCAACTCCAAAGTGTTAGAGAAGATAGGAAAAATCAATAGGATCAATCAACTTAGACATTTTCCAAGTTTCCACACACACACACACGCATAGAGTAATGCGAATTTATATGAACGGCATTTTGCTGCAGCTTAAATTTTTATCAGCTTTTGACACAGTGTAAATATTACACACTTGACACACAATTCCATTAGTCAGACGTGAATGTCGATATCAGAAAATATTGCAATGTGTTCGACACCACCCTCTAAGCACACACACACACACACAGATCAACTGCAGCGCCAACAGCGAATTGCGCTTTGGCACACATAACATTAAAGTTGCATGTGATATGGCGAAGGGGCTGTGCTGCTGGCGGGTGTGTGCAGCAGGGGTAGTCACTGCTAAGCAGATAGCAAAAACGAAGACGAAGACGAAGACGATGACGACGCTGATGCTGATGCCGCTGCTAATGCCACTGCTGCTGCTTGGGGAAAATGCAACGGAAAATGTTTTGGCGTTGCACTTTTTGCCATATTTCCGGTTACATAAGCAACAGTCGTCAGAATGTGAACTGAGAGTGAAAGAGACAGAGAGAGCGAAAGCAAGAGAGTGGGAGAAGAGGTTGATAGGCGGGAAGCTTGGCGTCTGGCGGCATTCACCAACAGCTAGTCATGCCAAATAAAATATATACGAGGCGTACACATACCTACACACACAACTATATATAAATATACATATTTATGTAAGCTGTGTATGTATATATTTTTGCAGTTGACTGACTTTTGTGGATGCCGCCGCTGCGTCTTTATCTCTGTGTGAATGCGTCTGTGTGACTTGTTTGCTTTGCTGACTCATGATGTTGCCCGAAAAATTCTCTCGTGGCCAACAAAAATACACAACAAGCGCAACACACAAACACACACACATAAAGAGACATGACTCTAGCGTCAGTCGTCCACATTGCGCATGTTATGCGACATGCGAGCTGCCATGTTTACGCCCCCTGCACATGCTGCCCACCTCATCCCACCCCTCTACACACTTCACTGCATTTCGGACTAAACTACTTGAGCAATATATATTTTTTGCCTTGATCTCATAAAGTGGGCAAAAGTTGGACTTGCGGGGATAATTAGTCTCATTAGTTTTTCGGCAGGTGGGAAAGTGTAGATGTCTGTGTGTATGTGTGCATGCTTATCACTATTAATTTAGCATTATCAATAGATAAGGGCAACACTTGAAAAGTTAATTATATTTGTATGGGTAAATTTCTGTGGTATGTAGACGAAGCTTCAATTAGTGAGATGAAGGCAAAGTGAGACAGATTTGTGTATCGACATATTCGATCAGCTGGAGTTACCCAATTCGATATGTGGCTCTCCTATGACAGTGATCTTTACTCCCTTTAGACTTCCTCTAGTCTTCCTCTTTAGATTCTAAAAGATTTTTCATTTCGATAATCTCCTGCCATTTGCTTAGGTATATGTGAAATATTTCAAGTGTTTATCCTAGCTTCGTACACATGCTATGCTATGCTTGCTTCTCTTACTGCATTTCTTTCCTTACCTCCTGTAGATGTTTCTAATTTGGAAGCTTTTGTATTATTCACGCTCGCTTTATCCTCTGTAGAGTTAAGCAGCTTGTTAACTGCTGCATGCATTATAGCGTCGCGTCTTTGCCTTAATTATTCAGTTGACTCGGAATCATTATCATTATGTTGGCCACATTATTCCCCAATGCATTTCGCTGCAAGCCGCAAAAAACCCGCCACAGAATACAGAATAAAAGAAACTGTTATATATGTAACAAAAATTTTACCACAGCACTTTTTTCTGCTCTTTTCCACACATATACAAATAAACTTCCTGTTTTCTTTCTTTTTGTTGTGTTAGGTATGAGTGTGTGTGTGTGTGTGGCTGGCGGTAGTTTTATGTGTGCGAAAAACGATTTCCTATATTGCATTTTCCTCTTCCGCTGAGCAAAGATGCCGCATCCGTTACGAGTTCTTGTCTCCATGTCTACTCCAGCTTGCGCTTCCTATTGATGCACACACACACACTCACATGTGCATATATAGAGTATATATCTTTATGCCCACGCTTTCTGCTAACATGTTTGCTAACAAGCAAGCAGCAGGCCAACAATTTTTCCCCCTTTTTTTTGCCAATTTCTTCTTTTTTGCCCGCGTTTCAATTCGGTTCTCAAGGGCATGGCCCAGCCAAATGGAATTTATATGGCAACATAACATCTGGCTTGCATACAGCTTTATTGATTTTATTGCCACACACATTGGTTGAGAAAGGTTGTGCTAGATTCTAGTTCGATTGGGATTCAATTTCTTTTCAAATATATTTATAATTAAATTAAATGTTGAATTTATAATAAATTTCTTATTTCATGTATTCTGAGTATTAAATCAAGTAGATCTTGCCTTAATTTACATCATAAATTCACGATTTAATTTTATCATATTTTCTCCCAGTGTATTTTGTAGCTTGTGCAATATGTCTATGCCTATGCTCATAATCACTCACTGTATGGCATTCGACTGGACAATCCGCAGTAAAAGTCAAGCTTGTCGCAAATCTTGCGTACTTCCTCTCCCACACTTTCTCTCTCTCCCTTTCTCGCAGTTTATGTGCTGTGTGTGGATGCCTGCACTTGCTTATTTTATATTCCAACTTCCGGCTTATGCACATGACTTTAAGCCGGCTGCATCCGTTTGGGGGATTGTCGCCGCCTGCTGCTGTTGCCGTCTTTTACGCCCTCTGGGGACATCCCGCTCTTGGCCCTCCTTTGTCAGTGTCATATTTGGCTGTCTTTTGCAACGGCCTCGCATTTAAAGCATATTTATTTACTGCATGCACTAGTTGTACCCACTACCCACTGCTTTAGCCGGTTAGTTGCAGGATTTTTATTTATATTTTTTCTTTCTCACATCCTTGCATTTTTTTTTGCCTGTGCACGTTTCCTGCTTAATTTTGCGCCTGTCGTCTGCGCCTGTCTACATGCTTATAACTTGTTTCCTGTTGTTGTTACTCCGTTACTGTTGCTCCTTGTGCCAATGCTTCCTTTTCTGTTTCTCTATTTTTGTTGCCGTTGCTGCTGCCTGTGCTGCTGCTTATGCTCATGTCGTCATTTGATAAATTCCACATGCTGAGAATTTATCTGCCCCCAGACATTGTTGTGCCACCCGCAGCTGCAGTTGCTGGCTCCACACAGATTGCACAAATCTGCTGCATTTATTTCTCGTTTTTTTGTCTTGCCTTAACTTCGATTTCAGATTTTTCCAGCTATAAAAAATGTTGAAAGAATCTTTACATCGTCGTTGTTGTTGTAACTAGAGCTGCTTAGAAAACGTAGAAAAGAAAAAGTTGTATGGGTGCTGCAAACAAGCAAATAGTTGTTATAGTTGAAGTGATTATTAATTGCGTTATAGCGAAGTTTTAAATATATTAATATTTTAGATTGCAAAGGCAAAGTTTTTGGATTCGTTCCTTTTATATGCCACGATAAGTATGCTACATAAAAATGAATTTTTTTTAAAGTGCTCTAATAAATAATTCTTAATTAACTATTGATAACAATAAAGCCCCAAAACTTTTAATTACATTGAACCTTAGGAACTTGTTCAAAAAGTAAGCTACATAAAATTTAAATTCACTGTAGGCTTCGGTTTCCCTTCGGCTTACAAGTGCTACATAAAAATAATATAAATTTAGGTCTTTTTCCTGAGACACTTCAAGTTGCCACGCTTCTAACTTTTGCTGTCGTTGTCCTGGCTACAAATGAAGCTTTTGCTAATTATGTACTGTCTTCAGTTCTTGTGATTTGCTTTTTTTTATTTTATTATTTTACTTGCGGGGCTCACACGTGGCACTCATTAGTCGCTAATTCAATGAGCTGCAAGCAGCAAATTTTTAAGCGTTACTCAACACTCTTTCATTAACAACAAAAGGCAAGCGTGTGTGTATCAAATTAATTGCAGAGTGTGTACAAAATAGCAAAGCAACAACACGCACACATGCACACACTCAAACAAGCCAAGTCAATTAATGTGTATAAAGCAGCATTTGCATAGGCATATCTGCAGGCTCTATACTGGGAACAATAAGCAAACCTGCCCCTTCCAGCTACTCGCATGCACAATGGGGGATGGGCGCCGAACGCCTCTTAATTTGCGCTTTCATTTTATAATCGCATCAGTCACTCACTCACTCACTCACTCGAGCTGTGGTTCGTCAACAGGCGGCCGAAAGCAAAGTCCTTTGATTTGTGCCTGGAAATTCAATCAAACTAAACGGGGTAGTTGGGTGTGGGATGATGGGGGCTTGGCATGTGGATGATGCACTGCTACTCGCGGCAAAGATGACAAAAGATGTATCTATGTTATTAATAGTGCTGCTGGCAAACGATGATGAAGCTGACAAGCTCAACAACAGCAACAACAATAGCTGCAGCTAGGACGGAGGAGGCGAACCAAGTTATTTGATTACAATGCGCCATGCATTATAGGCTTTGTGGGTGTGGCACATGCGTCACATGCGTTGTTGTTGTTGTAGCTGTTGTTATTATCCTTGGCCATACATTTATGATAGCGTTGATGTGCAGGCATTGCAGATTAATTACGTATGCAACACAAGTGCCAAGTGTGGGTAGTAGGGCCGAAGTCTACAAAAGCACAAAGCCAGCTAAAGAAATTTCCAATAACAATTGCTTAAAGATTTAAACTAAGAAGATTACCTTAATTGAGTAAGAGAGAGAAAGAGATGGTAAGACAGGAGCTTAAAGAAATATTTGCATAATTAAATTGTGGATCTATAAAGAGAATCATTGTTTATTATACTAAGCATAATTACATTTATTAGTTCATATTATTGAAATAAATGCGTAAAACAAAATTTATTATTTTATACAGCTGCTAAAACTTATTGTATGAAATGGGAATTTCTTTTAATCAAAAATGTAATATTTAAATTTTAATTTTAAACTTATTATCAAAACACATTTTCCAGAATATGGTTATAATTCAATTTGAACTTCATTTAGAATATAGGTCCTCAAGAATTATATGTAAATTTCTATTACAACAAATTCTGAATACTTATTCACTCCTTAATTTCATTTTGTAATTTGTCTTCTGTGTATTGCTTTAAATTGCAATACTTTCACCATTAACGTGTAACTTTCGGTCGGTCACACTCGAATTATCTTCCATTTAGTCCTTTGAGCAATATACGTGCATAGCTAACATATTATATATAAACTTATGTTTTATCACAAGTCATCGCAGATCTTAACTGCAACAAATTGTTTGGCCATTAGCGGAAGTAATGCACCCTGGCAAATTGACAGACCGCAAAATGTCAGCTGCCAACTGCTACTTAAAGCGTCATTAAAAGCAGCTCGAAAGTGAAAACCTAATGGCAGCACCTACAACAACGACAACAACCCGAACGAGACTTTCTGCTTCAACTGCAACTACTGGGTACTGTCTGGCTGGCTTACTGCTGCGGACATTGACAGTAATTTGCACGAAAAGTGCAAACCGCAGCAGGACGAAGCCGTTGACGAGAGCGCAGCTGTTAATATGCGATGCCAGCGACAGTTGGCGGCACGTGCTGCTAAACAAAATGTGACACGCCTCCACATACACCACACACACACGAGCACTTGGGCGCATCATTTCCGCATCCGTTTTGGCAATCAGCCTCTCGTACGCTCGTGGCTCTTCGTCCTGGTCTTCTTGCCCATTGAGTACATATAATTTAGCTTTTGTCTGCTCAAATTTCAGCTCATACGAGCATCTGTCATTATGCCAGAACTTTGCGTGAGTGTGTAAGAGGGAGGTTAGATGGTTGTGTGTGTGTGTGGGTGGACAGTCAGACGTGTGCGAGGTAAATTAATTGCTCATTGCAAAGATAAGACCCCGAGATGAAGACCCCTAAAAACGACTGTTGATTGAGCAGTAGCTAACAGATGAAGTGACCTTTAAGTTGGGGTTAGATAAAGTGCCAATTTAGATGTGCCTGCCTGCTGTCTGGCAGCCATAGGATTCTAGGCTTGTATAGCTGGTCAGAAAACATTTTTTAATATATAAGAAAACTCATATGCTCGGATGGAGCTTATGGGAATTGAAAATTTGTTTATCGTCCTTATCTAATCTAAATATTTTTTTCCCCATATTTTGCAGGACCCGAAGGCTGTAATTTGTTTATCTATCACTTGCCACAGGAGTTTACCGACACCGATTTGGCTTCAACTTTCTTGCCATTTGGCAACGTTATCTCGGCCAAGGTGTTTATTGATAAGCAGACGAGTCTCTCGAAATGTTTCGGGTTCGTCTCCTTCGATAATCCGGAATCAGCACAGATGGCCATCAAGGCCATGAACGGCTTTCAGGTGGGCACGAAGCGTTTGAAGGTGCAGTTGAAAAAACCCAAGGATGCATCCAAACCATACTAAGAAACCCCGAGGAGGAGCACTACTATGAGAACATAAAAGAAGGAGTGAGAGTAAGAGTAATTAAAATTGAGAAGAATCCAGCTGCAGGAACAAACTTAACTTATCTTAACAAGAACAACTATAGCTAAAAGAGCAACAGTAAGAAATGTTTACCCCTTGAAAAATACCAACACGAACTAAATTGTCAAATGGAGTAGTCCAATGAAGAGTTACCCGTGTGGAGCGCGCGCGTTAAAAGTAAACCAAAAGTCAAGAACCCTACGTTGTACGTATACCCTATAAAAAATTAAAAAAAAAAAAAAATTACTATTGAAAAAAGACATGAATTTGTGCCAAAAAAAGAGACAGCAATTAAATATTTAGCACGTTAAATGTTGAAGTCGAACAAAAGAAACCTACTACACCTAGAGATACCCTATAGTTTTAGTGCCTTAGTTTAGCGTTTAGTTCTGTCGAAACACTTTCTGTTTGTTACGCTTTGAAGTTACTTTCGCAACAAATTTAACGACACATTTATATATTTTTAAGCTGTTGTCGTACAGTTAAAACATATTTTAACAAATCATTTTTGTACTCTCTCTTTTTTCTATTTCGAAAATATGACACACACATATATATATTTAATCTGTTTCAAGTGTTAGCTTTTAAGTTTCACAAAAACAAAATAAGAAAAAACAACAAAAAATCTTTACAAAAAAATCAATTCAATTTAATTTAATTTTTGAACAATCCACGCTTGTCTCTGTTTCATTTGTTCATCTCATGATGTTGCAAGTCACAAGTTGTTTTGATCGTTTGTTGAATATCTGAAGTTCTCAACTAAACACTATAAAATATATATACTATATAAAATATATATTAATATAACGGTTACTTTGTTTTGTTAAATGGATTATCTTCTTTTATATGCGAATATAAATATTTTAGTTCTTAGTGCTTAAAACTGAATTGTTAAAACAAACAAAACCTTTTATTTGTACTGAATGGAAAAGAAACAATGTTTTTGTTATACTTAATTATCATAACACAATCATCATTATTATATATTTCGTTTAGCTTTAATTTTTATTTACTGAGCTACAAAATTGTTTAGTGTTAATGTGAGAGAATAAAAAAATACAACAATATATATTTTCTTATAATTTCAGCAATTTTTTATTCATTAATTATTATACTTGTAATACACTCTTCTTTCGCTCAGTGTAGTTTTTTTGTAATCATTTCAAAATGTTTCAAATTTCATCATGTTTAGATTCTTTTTCACGCATTAAACATTTTGTAGTTAAATATATATTTTGCATTAGTTTATGTAGAGTATAGTTTTGTTTTTGTAATATATACACACACACACATATACATACACTACCAACACACACACACCGACACACATACATACACTACCAACACACACACACCGACACACATGTATACATAACACATGCTTATTTAAATATATAAATAAAGTTTTGTTTTCTGTTTCGAAATGCACATGAACGCAATTTGGTGTCTTTACTCGTCTGCTTGGCATAAACTGCAAATATTTATTATTTATTTAATATTTACTAATTGTGTATTTTACTCTTTGATTTAGATTCGAAGTAAACGTTTCTTCGAGTTGCCCTAGAATATGACTAATTTAAACCAAATTATTTCGAAGGCCAAGTAAAGTGATGCTGCTAACGAGTCAAAAGGTGAGCGCAGTCCTTTGAGCCAATACATATATATATATATTCTGCATTTCTATATATATTCTCTTCTCTCTTTCAGTCGTTTGCCGTCGTTCTGTATAGCCAATTGGTCCCATATATATTGTATATACTATGCTGCCCATCAAATTGCTGTCATACATACAAATTCGCAACAAGTGTACATTTTTATAGCCTTGTATACACGAACTGTTTGTAAAAAAGATACCAAAAATACCACACAAAAAACCAAAAAAAAAACGTTTAACAATGAGCATGAAAAACACATCAGACAACACCTTATATAGAGGATAATTGTAAGATAGCGCAGCATAAGCCATTTTAATAAAGCTTGCAAAGCAAAAACTTTTAAATATATATATATATTATATATATATATTAAAATAAACAAACAAAAAGAAACCAAAAAAAAAAAAATAGAAAAAAGACGTGACGTGAAAAATTATATTAATCTAGCATAAATTGTGTGTTTATTATGATTTGTTAAGAATTTGTAGCTATATATGGAAAAAAACGCATTGACAAATCAAAGTTTTGGAAAGCCAATTGAACGAGCAGAGTTGCCATGCTATTTGCGTTAGACAGAAGAGTTGCCAGCTTGCAAACAATTGAGTCACTGAACTAATATTCGGGCTTCTTAGGCTATTATACTATTATTTCTTATATTTACATATTTATGGCTGCAGTATTTATTTAGCAAATTTAATTAATCAACTATTGTAGTACATAGTTAATTATGTACATTATATAGATATATATAAGCTATAGGTGTACTATAACTGTGCATTTTGTATAACTATCTAAATGTGGCTTTAAATTAAATAAAAAAGAAAAACAGAAAATGCTTTTTTCAGTACGATCTGAAGATTGCAATTAAAGATTTAAGCGTTTTTGTCGTTGTGTAATTTACTGTAGTTAACTAGAAATTTAAGTGTAATTTTTTAGAGAAACAAAGCAAGGCTGTGTGTGTTCTAATTGCATAAATTTAAGTCTACATAAAAGTATGTGCGCAAAATACAAGAAAAACAAATAATAATAATAATAATATAAATAATTTGCTGACTTCGATTTAAGCGACAAATCGAAAGCGAGAACGTAAAAATCTAGTGATAAAACGCAGTTAGTTAAGTTAATAAATATATATATATAGATGTATATATGCATTATTGTATATTGGTGTATAAAAAACAAACACACACTCTCTCACACACACACCCATCTAACAAGAACTAAAATCAATAAAAGGTGTCATGAATTTTTTATATTAAATACTAAAAATAAACTTGTATTATTTTCTAAATAAATCGGCAGATAACCCTATATATGTATGGCAACTTACGTTAGTCTGGCGCAATTTATCAAATTCTTTGGTTAGTTGAAAAAGTTTTTAGCCAACTTTTGCACTGCCAAAAAACACAGACACTTATAAATGTGTGTGTGTGTGCACAAAATGTTGACGAGCAACTAAAGAAAACTTCAACAATAAACGAAATATTTTGCTAAACTTGCGATTTGCATATGAAAAAGTTTATGCCAATTGTGGACGTAGCCGAGGGAGGTGTCTATACAGTGGGTGCGAGACGTGTATTGCCTCGCACAAGAACTAAAAACGACGACGGCAACATGTAAACAAATTTACCAACTACGTGACGCAGCAGAGCCCCAAGAAATGCCAACGAATCGAGATCCATCTGCATGCAGCATCCATTCATTCACTTGCCGTCTACAGCGCTGCTCTGCCAGACGTCGCCAGCATTGCATAATCCAAATCCAAAGTCGAATCTTAACGCAAGATTTATCTCCATTTAAATCATGCGTGGAAAAGTTTGCTGCTGCTGCTGCTGCTGTTGGCAGCAAAAGGCAAAAATCTAACGTATGAGAGCCTTGGGAGTTGCTACTAACACAGATGGGAGTGCGGGAGCTAGGGGCGGGCGGCACAGCACACGGCACGGTACGGCATTCATTTTGTCTTGGCATATTCAAATATTTTGGCTTTTGATTACGACAAAAGTTTTTGGCATTTTTGCCATGCTTAGTTCGACAACAGCAACAACATCAGAGCCACCCGAAGGATTTTCGCTTATCCTGTCAAATGATTTTTTCGGCTTCTGATAAGCGTTAAATGCTCACAAGATAAGCCAGAGGAAGAAGCAGAACTATTAAATCATCGTGAGCAGACAAAAATTCAAGTCGATTTTATGCCTCAGGCCTGATCCCAACAATCCTTGCATGCCAAACGCTGTGTATCGAATATTCTAAAATTGCATGTGACAGGCTCGGCTGGCCTTCTGTATTTATTGATAGAAATTAATTTTATATGTTGTGCGCAAGACCTTAAGGTATTTTGGGTATTAGGGTTCTCAAAAATGAAGTTGCTTGAATGCCAAAATAGATTATGATTAGAAATTATCTATTATAAATAGCCTTAGGGGCAGTTTAACAATAGAAGAAATATCATGGTTTTATGTAGACTTCAAATATCTAAATAGCATTTAAGAATAAGGAAAACAATATTATTTTGATGCTGTTTCTGCCATAGCTACTCGAAAGGCAAGATCTCAGCTACAGAAATGAGCTGTTGAGTCCATTAGATATTTGCTCGAATTTCAGTCTCTACTTACATAGAAAGATTGAAAACTTCAAACTTCAAATTGAACAGAATTTTCTAACACATTCCAATCTGTGTACAAAATTCAATTCAATTTTAGAGTTTTTTCTTTCCCCTTTAATCTCCATTAGGCAGTTTACTGGAAACAATTCTAGCTATCAGCAGCAGCAGAAGTTGTACAGAAATTGGGCATCTGTAGCCAATCATGGCCATAAATGTATATTCGCGGTATTTGGGTTCAATGGGTCTCAATGCCACTCAAACTAGCTCTCTGTCTCTCTCTCTCTCTTTCTCTGTCTCTAACCCTATCGGGCTGTCGCTTATTCTCTCTGCACTCTGCTCGCTGTGCATGTGCTGGGCGCTAAGCAGATTAGCAAAGTTTGTAATTACGTTGGTAATTGATTAGGTTCGAACAACAAACTGCTAATAAGATTATTGCAGTCGAGAGCAAACCGAGCTGAAAAAACAACTTCAGCCCCAGAACAGACTCCCAATCAAATAGAGCAACAACAAAAACAACAAAAGTAGTATTAGTAGTAGCAACAAGCCCAAAAACCGAACACGCAACAAAATTCGAAGCGATTTGTGGCACAAGTTTTGCATGGAGCATCCCGGACGATGTTGCCTCTCGCTTAGCTCTTAGTCAGCTCTCTTTCGCTCTGGCTCGTTCCCACGCTTGTTTGCACAATTTGTGGCTGTGGAGGGGCGCGTGGTGCGGCAGGGTAGCTGGGCTCGGGGTAAGCTCACGCAAGCCGGAAGAACAACAATCGACCGCCGAAATAACAATGGCTTTGGCGCGTTTGCCAGCTTTGGCATTGGGCGTATTGTTAATGGCATTGCACGCAAACACACACACACACACACACATACACACATACAGAGAGAGAGAGACACAAGACAAACAATTTAGTGGCATTGCAACGTGGGCAAACAATCAGCGCTACGTCTGAGGCACACTTGCCACCCATCGGCTGAGGTTGAAGATGGGCCATGTCCAGTGTGGTGTTTCTTTGCCCGCCAAGCGGAAGCGGAAGTGGAAGTGCATGACCAGCTGCATGGCTGTGTGCGTGTGGGTGTGTGTGTGTGTGCGTGAGATAAATGCCTCATGCAGTGCAATGCAAAGCCGCAAGGATATCAGTC